CAGGGCTGTGTGGGGCACAGGTCCCCCCTCACCCCCCGTGTCCCCCCAGTTCTCTCCCTCTGATCCACGGGACCCACGGACTGCAGGTGAGGGGGGGGCTGGTGTGGGGCCAGGGATGGCCACGGGGGCCATGGTGGCCCAATCCCCGTCTCTGCTAGCCCAATCCCCGTCCCTGGTAGCCATGGTAGCCCACTCCTGTCTCTGCTAGCCCAATCCCTGTCTCTGCTAGCCCAATCCCATCCCCGGTAGCCCAATCCCTGTCTATGGTAGCCCAATCCCTGTCCCTGGTAGCCATGGTAGCCCACTCCTGTCTCTGCTAGCCCAATCCCCATCCCCAGTAGCCCAATCCCTGTCTATAGTAGCCCACTCCTGTCCCTGGTAGCCATGACCGACGCCGTGCTGGCCGCTCTGTGGGGTCAGGGATGGCTGTGGTGCCATGGTAGCCATGGTAGCCCAATCCCTGTTCCAGGTAGCCATGGTAGCCCACTCCTGTCACTGGTAGCCCAATCCCTGTCCCTGGTAGCCCAATCCCATCCCTGCTAGCCCAATCCCTGTCTATGGTAGCCATGGTAGCCCAATCCCATCTCTGCTAGCCCAATCCCCGTCTCCGGTAGCCATGACCGACGCCATGCTGGCTGCTCTGGGGGGTCAGGGATGGCTGTGGTGCCATGGTAGCCATGGTAGCCCAATCCCTGTCTATGGTAGCCCAATCCCTGTCCCTGGTAGCCATGACCGACGCCGTGCTGGCCGCTCTGGGGGGTCAGGGATGGCTGTGGTGCCATGGTGGCCCAATCCCTGTCTATGGTAGCCATGGTAGCCCAATCCCATCTCTGCTAGCCCAATCCCTGTCCCTGGTAGCCATGACCGACGCCGTGCTGGCCGCTCTGGGTCCCGCCGCTCCGTTCCTGCGGCCGGACGAGCGCGAGCGCCTGGCGGCCACCACTCGCCCGTTCGATCCCCGCGCCGAGTGCTTCGTGCCCCACCCCACGCTCGAGTTCGTCCGCGGGCGAGTGAAGGACAGAGATGGCGAC